GCAGAGGTGGCCCCAAATGCTCAGTGCCTAAAAGTGCAACCTATGGCAAGCCTGTCCATCATGGTGTTAACCAGCTGAAGTTTACTAGAAGCCTTCAGTCTGTGACTGACTAGCGAGCTGGATGGCACTGAGGGGTCATTAGAGTCCTCAATTATTACTAGGTTGGTAAGATTCCACATACAAATGTTTTGAAGTTATCCTCATTGATCCATTTCATGAAGCTACCAGAAGACATTCTGACACAGAATGGATCGCCGAGACAGTCCTAAAGCACAGGGAGATGCATGGTTTGAAATCTGCAGGCTGCAAGATCTGTGGCCTGGGGAAGGGCCACAAGTTCCACCACACTATTGGTGGCTCTCACCGGGCTGCTTGGAGAAGACACAACACTAGCCAGCTTTACCGCTACCATTAGTATAAGTAATGTTTGTAAAACTCATGCCTAATTAAAAGTTTAGGAGAGTCAACATCTATTTTAAAGTGTTCTTTATCTGTTAAAACAGAAGTTGTCTGCAGATCATTTCATGAATGCATTGTCAAATTATGAAAGTGAAAGTGTGATGTTTGAAGACAGTAAGTGAATAGTGTATCTTATTTCTAATAAGGTAAATGTTTTTGGTTTTGCTTTAAGAATCTTACTAAGGAGTTACCTGTCAATGTTTTAAAATGGCATACTGTGTGGTATAATAGGTGTAAAATAAATTCTTTAAAAGGAGCTTTGAAATTAGCTCTTTCTCTACACTTTAGTGCATGTGCTAAAACCTATAGTTTAATTGGGGTGATGTAATGCTCTGATAGTTTCAAATGGTTGGAGTTTTGGATCTCCTCGTTTTTTGAGTTTAAAAAAGGTAAATTCAAACAAACTTTATTGAATAAGTTGGATTTGCTTGGACATTAGTAAGATGGGAAGAGACTCTCCTAACCTTTTGTCATGATCATTTTGCAGAAAAACAATGGGGTCAATTAGAGTCCACATTTTTATATTGCATCTATTCATGTAACTGCAGGTTAAAAATAGGAAAAAATTTTAAATGCCACCATTCTTAGTAGAAACATTGCAAGAGAACTTTCAAATGCAACAAGTCTGACTTATCAACCTAAACAGAGTTGCCTTGGTCTCCATGATATCATCAGAATTAAAAGCCTGTTCAATCTTCATTCCTGGGATATGTAGAATCTGGGAAAGGTATGTTCTAGATTTGATAACATGTCTGCAGTGGTATTTACACTGGGAGTCAAGGTGAGGTCCGTGGGTTAATGTGCTCGACTGTAATGATGGTTTGAACCATAAGGTCAGTAATTCAACTTCAACAGCTGCCCCTTGGAAACCCTACACAAGGTCGCTATGGGCCCGAACCAACTTGATGGTACTTAACTATATTAAAACACAAATTAAACATTATGTGAAGGAAACAAGGCAATTATTTAACCTTGAGATGTACAACCCAGGATAAGAAGTTAACTCCCTAGTGTCCATTAATAAATACCTTTCAAGTGTTTGAGAACAAACATGCAGTCTTAGTTGTTTTTTGTTGTTTTTTTTTTAATCTCATTTTGACTATTGTGGACCCTCTCTCCTTTTTAGTGAAAATAAAAAGATTAGCTATAAAAGCAAATTGGTCAGCCCAATCAGCCTTAAATTGTTTTTGGTTAGCCCACCGTATCTTCTCCCATAAAGCTACTGAGGCTTGGTCTGAAGGTTCACATTCCACTGTAGCTTACTTAGCCCTGGGCCTCCCCATTCCACAACAAATTTAACAATTGTGTGCCCACCTTGTAAGCATACTACCATTTTGTTGGGTTTGTTTATGTCACATCTAAACCTTCCCACGATGAGTGTGTAGGAAATACAGAATTGCCTCAGTTCTCCAATTCTGAGTTGGCTGATGAAAGTTTGATTTTATAATCTGATGGCAAGTTTCCAGGAACCAATGAGCCCATATTTAAGGATTTATGGCTCAATTATGATTTCTAGAAAACATTTGTAGCAGACTCCATAAACAAAAACTCTTCGTTTCTAAATTTTATTTTGAAAAGGTATGTTCTGATTATGTGTAGAAGTTGTTCCTCTAAAGGAATAAATGTCTATTAAACAAAAACAAAAAAGGAAAGAAAATGTTTTTTGACAGGACAAAGATAACATGATGAATCAGTTTGGCAAAGACAAATTTTAATCCAATTCAAATTTAGTCCAATACCAGATGTCCTATGGTGAACCATAAACCTGATACCTGATCTTAGGACTTGGGAGTTAGCAGCATAAACGTACTAGTTCTTTATGAATGGGAATGTAGAAATAGTAACCAGAGATCTAAGGATCTAAGAAGCTCCCTTACTTAGATCAGACAGAAGTGGGGGGTTCAAGATAATCAGAAGAGAGAGAAGGGTAGTCAGGACCTGTATCAAAAAGACCCAGAGTGTGTGGAGCTAAGTTGTTGCTAAATGCCTTCCGGTTGGTTCCAACTTACCATGACCCTACATAAGGATTCCAAGGAATGGCTGGTGAGCATGAACCACCAACTTTATGGTTCAAACTGATATTGCTATCTAGTGCGTTAACACACAGCACCACATCAGGACTCTGTGTGGGGTTCTAACAATCAACAAAGGTGTATTTTGAGGGAGAAGCAGGTACCTATATTGGTGTTGCAGGCACATTGTTGAGAGATTGAAAGAAGATAATTGCTGCTCTTTGAGAACTTCTACAAAGAGGCAGAGGTGAAAGCTGATCTTCAGAAAATTTAAGAGATGGGAACAGGGAATTCCAGTTTAATGGAGATGACTGTCAGAGATGGCAATGCGGTGTTGCAAGGATTCTAAGTGTAGCCAAAGGCCCTGCAGCCAATTAAAATCAGTGCAGGTGTTGAAGACCAGCTTTCTGCATGGTGTCTCTTTGGTGTGAGCCTCATAGGAACCTGTCATTTCCTCCTCACCAGTATGGACCAGGGAGCATAATGACTGGGTCCAGTCCTTTAAACCATTCCATCCTCCTATGGAAGGTGTCTTTTTAGGAAACAGCTATGATGAGTTATTAACAATACATAAATATGAATGAGAAACAGATTTACTATACCAGGGAAATAAAGTTTATTGGGAAGTAAGTGAAGGAGCCTCCTTGCACTCCAGATAATACCAAAGAAACAAGGAAAGCCAGAAGCTCACTACCTACAGGAAACACCCTAAAATAATGGGTAATATATGCAGATGAGGTTATAGGGAACTATCTTTAGGACTGAAAAGACTCAACCTGTAGCACAAAAGAGTTTTCCAGACATTATAAATTGGTGATGTGTGACTACTTGTTGAGTCTGGAAGGCTGGCATGACACAGATTTCTAAAAAAACACAGAGGTCCAGCAAAGGCAGGTTCCAAGGATCTTTCCTATGCTTGATCTAAATGGCTTCATGGATGTCTTCAAAGAGAATTCAAGCTTCTAAGTTAACAGCTACATGACTGAGAGCTGCCACTGGGTCCAGAGGAATTGCCACGAGCATTGGAGGTGGAACTAGGGTTGGAGAGAAGCCTGAGGAGACACAAACGTTTAGACTGGGTTATGGATGGGAGTGGGTCAAACCCTATGGCACACACAACACCTTGAGTTCAATGAGACAATTGATGAATTGATAATGGTTGTGGTTAGTTGACATCAAGTTAGCTTGATATAAATCCTTCTTTCTCTCCAAGTTGCCTTGTGTAAAGGTGGAGGATATTTCTTACACGACTCTGAAAAATACTCTCCCATCCTCTTGAGCTCACATAGAACTTACCACAACTTTTTCTGTCCTATGGTTCTGAGTAGCAATCTCTGTACCATTTTAGCTCTCTGAGGCAGGGACTACATTCCCTTCATCTCTGTGTCTGCCACATTTCCATAAATTTCACAGATCACTGTATACATAGTAGATCCTTCATCAATGCATATTGTTTGGTGAGATGAAAATATGGCCAGCATGTGAATACCCATAATGTCTTGTAATCCCACCTGACATGTTTCCCCAGAAAAGTTTAGCATCATACTCACTTGCTGTCCTCACTCTCCAACAGGCTCCGGTATGTGTTGATCTCACCCTCAAGGTGCGCCTTGACATCCAGCAGCACCTGGTACTCCTGGTTCTGACGCTCCAGGTCACAGTGGATCTCAGACAGCTGGGACTCCACGTTGGTGATCATGCTCTGCACCTGGGACAGCTGAGCACTGTAGTGTGCCTCAGTCTCTGTCAATGTGTTTTCCAGAGAGTCTTTCTGTGATGGGAAGACCAAAAATAAATAAGTCAATATTCATACACAGGCTCCTTTAAACGGTTTCTCTATATTGTTACAAACAAGTCATAAGCTGAAAGATTTAAGAAGAGTTTGTGATCAGAAGGGACCCCAGAGACTGAATTCCCTGGCTTTGCATTTCTCAGCAGGACATCTGAACAGTACCTACCAGGTTGTGCTGGGCCTGCAGCTCGATCTCCAGGGAGCTAACAGTGCGTCTCAGCTCCATGATCTCAGCCTGGCTGGACTGCAGTTGCTCCGAGCTGGATGCCACCTGCTTGTTCAGTTCCTCAGTCTGAAACAGCCAGAGGGGAGAAGACAGGGTCAGATCCTGCCTTACAGGCCCAGGAAGTTCTAGGTGGCCACTTGCTACATGCCCACCTGTTTGGCAAACCATTCCTCCACGTCCTTGAGGTTGGTCTCCATTAGGGTCTCATATTTGGACCTAGTCTCATTCAGCACACGGTTCAGGTCCACGTTGGGGGCAGCATCCACCTCCACATTCAGGCGGTCTCCAAGCTGGCTTTGCAGGGCATTGGCTTCCTGAAGGAATAAAGGAAAGAAAGAAACACAGAAAAGTCTATAAATAAACTCTATTTGATAGAGTCCAATGTGGTGGAGAGAGGATTGTACTAGAATATAAAACACAGTTGAAGTTAAAGTCCACTGTTAGCTCTGGCAAGTCAGACCTTCTGTCTCTTTTCTTCATCTCTATAATGAGGATGCTTGATTCAATGATATCTAAAGTTTCTTCCCACTCCAGGATTTTATCACATCGTTTTGCTCTTCCTACTGCTCACTGTAAACCTGGCATAGCACGTGGTTTACAATCATTGCTAATGTAATGTAATCATTGCTAATGTAAGTATAGAGTCCAGGTTTGACTCTCCTCTCTCATTTCATGGAACTCTCTTACCTGCTCATGATTCTGCTTGAGCTGCAACAGCTCCTCCTTCAGAGACTCCACCTGGGCCTCCAGGTCGGACTTGCACAGGGTCAGCTCGTCCAGCATCCTGCGCAGGCTGTTGATGTCAGCCTCCACCAGCTGTCGCATGGAGTGTTCCATCTGGTACCTGTCCACACAGACAAAAGTCAAAGGAGGTAAAAAGGAAAGACTTTTTTTCCTGAGATTTGTTTGGCTAATTTAATATTATCCATTATATTGGGAAATATTCTGAGTTTTTAAAATATTTTGAAAGGAAAAGAAATACAGAGGTTCAGAATGAGACCATTTGCTCCCTCATACCCATAGAGAAGTTATTGAGGTAGTCCAGAAATTTACTTTTATCCCAACATTATTTGTTCTAAGAACCCCTGCTATCAACTAAGTCCCACTGTTTTTTTCTTTATTTAAGTAAGTAAGCTTTAAAAGCCAAATAATAATTGTCCTAATATATTCTGAGCCTTGATTTTCTCATCTGTTAAACAGAGACAAAGTGACCATTTTGTAGGACTAGCCTGGTGATAAAGAAGTGGCATAAGTAAAATCACACTGTAAACTGCAACGTCCCATAAAAATTGCAAAAGCACACGCTATGATGGTCATACCTAGAACAATTGAAAGATTCTCTGAAAGAAATGGATATTATATGCTGTTTTGTGATTGAACCATTTCTTTCTTATGACTGAGAGGGAGTAGCCTCCATTAAGGGACCAGTGTGAAATTCAGTTCTTAACTTGGTTTGACACAAGTGAAAAAGAGAAAGAACTGTGGTTTCTTATACTCCTTCAAAAAAAAAAAAAAAACCTTAAAACCCAGTATCTGAGAGCTAACAGGACTTTAGAAGATATCTAACTAAGGGCAAAAAGTCTTCCCAATCTTATCCCAGATAGCTTCTAATTGCACATTCACCAGGACACGGGGCATCACATTGCATTCATCCCACCCCATTACCCATTACTACACGGCTCTGATCCTAAGAAAACGTCCTTACTTGGTTCTGAAGTCGTCGGCAGCCAGCTTAGCATTGTCGATCTGCAACACCATCCTAGTGTTCTCAGCCTTGCTGGACAGGATCTGGAAAATCCAAAGCATTCCAGAATAAGCAAGGCCTTTATTTTTCAGGAGCCCTACTGGCACCATGGGAGCTTGGTGTCTCCATATGATAAGCACTGGTCTATGAAACATGAGATCTGCTCTTCAAGTCCACAAGTAGCTCCAAGCGAGAAAGATGAGGCTATCTGATCCTATAAATTGCAGCTTAAGAAATAATGTATATAGAGAGTCACTATGAGTCAAAATCGACTCAATGGTAATGGGCTTTGTTACTTTCAGCCAGCACCATCCCTAATAACCTGCTTATGTGGAAGGAGCATGATGAAAAATCATAGTATATCATATACGGGGGTGGGGGGGGGCCTTCAAAAGTCCGTGGAAAATGCCATTATCTTTCAATTCCACTTTACCACAGACTTTGTGAAGCTTTCACATATAAGGTAATTAAATGTTGTTTATGTGCAATATGTGCTCAATTATATCTGAGAATAAAGAATGCCTCACTCCTCAAAGTTAAAAGCTATTTTCTTTAAGTTACATTTTTTTCAAATAACTCTTAGTTCTCCAGATTTTCAATGTTAGGATAAAAGGAAGACCAGAATGGTCAAGTAAAACTGTGTCCTTCATTAGGAATTCTTCTCTTCTTGGTCTGTCTCTGGCTTCCTGCAGGAATTGAGTAGCCCAGAGTCACAGAAGGTGGCCAACAGTTCCAATTGACTTAGGAAGCAGCATTCAAAAATCAAACAACATTGCATTATACAAATCTACTGCACAAGAACTCTTTGAAGTGTTCAAGTGCAAAGATGCCAATTTGAGGACTAAGGTGCACCTGACCCAAGCCATGGTATTTTCAATAACTTCATATGCATGTGAAACTTGGACAATGACAAAGAAAGACTGTAGAAGAATTAATGCATTTGAGGTATCTGTTCGTGAATAATATTAAAAATTCCATGGACTACCACAAGAACAAACAAATCTGTGTTCAAAGAAGTATGTCCATAATGCTCCTTAGAAGCCAGGATGGCAAGACTTCTTCTCTCATACTTCACACATATTATCAGAAAGGACATATTTATCATGCTTGGTAAAGTGGAGGATCAGTGCAAAACAGGAAGACCATCAATGTGATAAATTAGCACAGTGGCACCAATGTTGTACTTAAACATAACAATTTTTGAGAGCATGGTGCAGGATACAGCCAGTGTTTCGTTCTGTTGTGCATTGGGTTGCTGTGTCAGAGCCTACTCGACAGCAATTCACAACAACAACAAGGATGTCCCCCGGATGTTAAAACCAGTAAAGTTCCAGGCAAACAAAGGCAGTTGGATACTCTATCCTTATACCACCTTCCTTGAAGTCTGCTGCCTCGCTCCACTCTCACCTTGCCATTGTTCATGCTTTTGCACCTGGCTTCTTCCTCTTCCTATACTGTCCTGGACTGCTCTTCCCCACCTAATAAGGCTCCTTGTATAACATCCATTCCTAAATACTGCATGCAGTCCCTTCTTTTATGGCCTTCCACAGGACTTTGCACAGAGCCACATTCACCATGGTCATTTGTTTCTAAATATGTTTCCTCTATTAAGCTTTGAACTCCATAAAGAAAGAGACAGCATAGAATGCTTGTAAGTCCGTCTTCTGTCTATACTTAATTGGAATACCTAAAATGAGGCTACAATGTGCCCAATGAAGGAAGCTTCCTTCGGAGACTCTGCATTACATAAGACCATAGGTGGAATCCTGAATCCCATCCAGCATCTTCTGAGGTGGGAAATTTCCACTTGAAAAGACAAGGAGATCAGCCTGGCATGGCTAGAAGAACAGAAGCTACTTCTTGAAAGAAAGAGCAACAGGAAAAATACAAAACAATAATGGCAGCCCAACTGATTACTACAATAACAAGCAAGTTGCTCACCCAGGAGACATCAAGGCAAGTGGTCGGATCTCCTCAGGGAAAACCCCCTTTAAGATTAGGACTCAATGGGAATACATTCTCTGATTGGGGATCACGTTCGTCACTGATAAGGGGAAGTGAGGGGGAAACAGCAATGAGGCTGCGAGTTTCATAGACAACATTCAATAGACTCTTGTGAACCCAGGTGGAGACCTGGTCAGCCAAAGTGTGGCGAGACCTGGGGACTTTTGGGCCCAGAATCAGTGACATACCCACAGAGGACTAGAGTAGAGAGTGAAGTGTCCAGCTGATAAGAAGAGAGGGCATATGCATAAGAACATTCACACTTGCAGATAATACCTACTTGACCTGGCTTCAATGACTGGATCATCAGAGATCAACTAGAAGAAGAAAGATGAGGAAAAAAAGAGTAATTTGACACAATTTGATGAACTTGACCTACACCTATGGATGCAAATTTGTACAGCAGGGATCATCCCCAACCCCTACATACACAGAGCGGAGAGGGATGGACAACTTGGACATTGGCTATCCAAAAAGGGGGGGAGGGCTACAGAGGCAAGAAGTGACTGGCTTACGAGTTTTCAAGAGGGAGCCTAGATCCAGAGGGTGCAGAGGAAGGTAGAATCTCCACTGAGAAGTATCCAGTCTGTCTGGTGGGGCTAATGAAAGGAGATGCAGCTATGTCTCTTGTGATACAATAATGAATAATTGTTATCAGGACTGACTGTAAGGGTTGGAAATGTAAAGGTAGATGTTTTGTAGCAAAAGGAGGGGAGTGATTGACTTTGCAGTCTAGGAGCAGAGATCCTGGTCCTATCAAGGGAGAAGAATGGAGAGCAGGACCCTACCCAGAGAAGCAGTGTTGCTAGAGATGGAGGCAGAGACGATGACGTGTAGAAATGGAGCATCTGGAGACTTTAGACCTAGAGAGGGAGAGGGGCTGATGACCGGGGAGCAGTCTTGCAGGGTATACTTTGGTTGGTTGATGATGCATGGAGGGGATTGTAACCATGGCAATGAAA